CGAAAGAATCCCATTGCTGAAGTGAGTAGTCCTTGAGATGCAGCGTAAACAAAGATGACTAAGACCTGCTGTCATTGGTTGGCCCTGCCAAAATTAGTTAATATCTACCAACTTGAATTCAGACGCCAATTTTGATTCTTGTTTAGCTTCCACTTCTTGTTAATTGTCACTGTTTTGTATTTGAATATGCATTGGTCTCCATAGAATAGTTGAGGTCATATATAAACTATTCTTAGTAAACGGTTGACATAAACCATGCATAAAGTAAAGGCAGTTATTGAATACTGAATTTTTAGTGTCATTTGCTGAATGGCCAAAAATTAAGGTAGAGAGTCACCAAAAAAAAGAAAGGTAGAGACTTTTCAACATTCTGCGGGTATAAAAGTCATAAAAAACTAGAAGGTTTTGAAAAGCGAAATTTTGTTGACTGTAATCTATATGTGATTAGTCATGGTCATATACTAGATGGTTGATCAAACTTGCAGGTGAAGTTTGATTTGGCGGTGGAAGAAAGAATGAAGCCCACAACGCGGCTCTGGCTTTTATAAAAGAATGAAATCCGCAAGACAGTTCATCTTTTAGCACGTGGCCCCAAAGACGAACAAGCTCAACTGCATTTGTCCACATTGAGGCCCAATGAAGGGGAAACAATCTGTCCCTCGTGAAAGACAACGTGGCCGGTAATAAGGACAGAATTGTGGTGTGTTTTATCCCCAAGAAAAAGGGTGGTCTGTAATTTTTCAAACTTCGATATTTTTAAATACCAATATTTTCTCTATCTAAAATCTAAAAATAGGTAAAAAAGTAAGAATTGATAATTTAGCAATTAATGCATTTGCTTTTCTGACCAAACAGAAGCTCCAATATTGGATCCACCTTGTCCGTTGCTCTGTGGTAGAGATGTTGTGAAAGTGGCAGATTTGGACCGTTAGCATGTGTGTACGCATCAATGATTTTTAAATTAAAAGTAAATATTTCGTAAAATAAAAAAAATAATATTATAGATCTAAGCTTTTTTAAAATGGTGACTATAGCTTAAAAACATAAAGAAAAAGATAAAACCTGTACCAGTTAGATTGATAAAATTTAGACCATGCAAATTAAATATGTTAGTTTATACATATACTTTACAATTTTTTTGCATTTGTTACTGTGCCAACACGGACATCCTTTGTTTAATATTTTTTTTAAAATGCCATTGTTACCGCTTGGAAAAAAACAAAAGAATGACTTTTCTTCCTATGAAGCAGGAAAGATAGAGCACGTAGTTTAAAATGGTACAATCACTTTCTTGAAGCCGCTGCTTCATTTCCAGATGCTTGCTCTAGGCTAAGCATACAGATATATTTTTAATAGGCTAAAACAACTTTTGAAGCTTGTGATTTATTTATTTTTTATTCTATAATTGACTTTGAATTTAGGAAAAATGATAGTGAAATGATAAGTAAACTTCATAATATCAAAAAATCATCTAAATTTGAAAATTCCAATTTCGTTATAAATGATTAATTTGGCATTTATAAATTTACTGAAATGATCATATTGTTCTTTATTTTATTTATTGTTTTTAAAAAACCAAAGCTCCTACTGGCTAGCCGGTCGTCGGAGTTCTGGCGGCGGTGACGATAGTCACCGAAGCTCCGGTGACCGGTTGACAATTGGCACCGAAAACAATGTTTTTGAAAATTTTTACAATTTCAGTATAATGGTTAATAACTTTTGTAACACTATTAACAACTTTAATATAACAATTAACAATAGGCTTTTCGAGAAATTCAACAATTAGTCGTCGGAACTTCGATGGCCGAAAACAATTTTTTAAAATTTTTACAGTTTCAGTATAAACGGTTAACAACCTTTGCAACGTTATTAACAACTACAGGTTTTTCGAAAATCAAAAAGTAATATTTTTAAACTTCAATAATGTCGCTAATAAGTTTTGTAACTCTATTAACAACTTTGATATAGTATTTAACAACAGTTTTTTTAAAAAAAAAATTAAAAAACAATGGCATTTTTACAACTTTAGCAACTATTTTTTAAAAAAATTTTTTAAAACTTCAGTATAACAGTTAACATCTTCAATATAGCAGTTAACAACATGTTTCCAAAAAAATTCAAAAAGTAGTATTTTTATAACTTCAGTAATACTGTTAATAAGTTCCGTATCTCTATTAATAACTTTGATATAGTATTTAACAACAGGTTTTCTTAAAAATTAAAAAAAATGGCATTTTTATAACTTTAACAACTACTTTTTTAAAAAAAAATTTACAACTTTAGTATGATGGTTAACAATTTTTATAATGCTATTAACAACTTCGGTATATCAGTTAACAACAGGTTTTTCAGAAAATTCAAAAGTAGCATTTTTACAACTTCTGTAATACGTTAGCAAATTCAAAAACCTGTTGTTAACCGCTATACTTAAGTTGTTAATAGTATTACAAAAGTTATTAACCGTTATACTGAAATTGTAAAAATTTTTAAAAAATTGTTTCCGGGCGCCGGAGCTCCAGTGACAATTGTTGAATTTTCTGAAAAACTATTATTAACTATTATATTGAAATTGTTAATAGCATTACAAAAGTTGTTAACTGTTATATTGAAGTTGTAAAAATTTTCAAAAAAAAAATTTTGGCTGGAGCTCCGGCGATCAATTGTTGGCCAGTCGCCAGAGCTTGGTGACTGCGACCGCCGCTGCTATCAGAACTCTGGTAACTGGCCAGCCGGTGGTGGTTTTGGTTTTTTAAAAATCAGAAATAAAATGAAAGCAATATGGTCACTTCAGCAAATTTATAAATGTCAAATTAGTCACTTGTGACTAAATTGATTTCTCAAATTCTGGTGATGTTTTTGGCATTACAAAGTTTATTTGTTATTTTTCTGTCATTTTTTCTTGATTCTTCTTATATATGGTTCAATTGGTAGCGAAGTGAAATCTATTTCCTAAAAATTTAAGGCAGCAAGTTAATCCTTGCAAGTGATCATAACTTTCTCTTATCCTCCTTTCTATATATTTGATGCCAGATGCAAGCTAGTAGAAATCGAAGGCCAAATAAAACAAACGCTGCCTACGTACGTCATAGAAATGAACTTGCTTCTTTTCTAGGCACAAATATTCATCCGACAAAACCATAATATTATGCTCAGGTGATGTTAGAATAGTTTCATTGCATCGTAAAAAGTAAAAATGATCCAGTTGATTATGTTTTCTTTTTTTGTTGTATTTTTTGGTGACAAGTTGACTATCTTTTAGATGCACTTGAGATGGCATGCAGCTTCTATACTCCTGTTAAAAGGAGCAGCGAGAAGTCAGAATCATTCACTTAGTCTAACGTTGGATGTGTGGCTTCTCGTCATGCCATTTTAGCCATTAATTTAAAGCAACCTGGCCTGGGGAGTGCTTATCAAAAGCAAGAGAGTTTGCAATGGCAAAGCAGGTGAAATGTTCATTGTTTTCATAGAGACAGCAGTGGATGTTTTGTCACTTCTGGATGTAAAATCTTCTCACTGTTTCTTAAATAAAACTACATTCTTTGATCTTTAGTTTTTAACTGCCAATGCATTGGCAAAAGGTTCTCACTGCAAAGATTTGGAATACTCATGGTGACTTAGTACCAAAGACTTGCAAAACGGCTTAATCATTTTCCCCATAATATTGTACAAGAACTTTTGAATCTTTTCATTTCTTCAACAATTTATATTAAGTTTGACTCTCTTAAATAATCCTAGCCTTCATAACAATCTGTAAATATAAGAATTTTGATAAATATCTTGGCAGAGGTATGATGTTCCCAAATTTCCATATCCCACGTGATTGCAATAAAGAGTTACTAGAGAAAATGTACTTCTTTGTTAATTTTCCCCCCCTCACAGCAGAAAGCACTAATATGAGAGAGGAATTTTTGGGACTGTTTATTTTTGTTCTTCGTTTTCTTGTTCTTAAACAGTTTTGTAAAATTGTTTCTCAGAACAAGTTTTGGAAACAAAAAGAACAAAAGAATTTTTTGGATAATAATTTAAAAAAATCATGTTTAAAAAAAAACTATAGAAAACCATACTTGGTAGGTGATAGTTGTTACTAATGATAAGTGATGGATAGTAGGTGAGAAGAGAAAAAGATTTCTTAAAACTTTTCAAAACAAAAAAATAAAATATATAAAAACAAAAACAAGAAAACATTTAAAAGTTGTTTTAGTTTTTAAAAATATGTTATTGTTTTTTACTTTTTAAAATAATCAACTAAAAATAAATTACCAAACAAGTTTTTTTTTTCTATTTTTAAAAACAAAAAATTGTTTCCAAAATAAGAAATCAAACAAGCCTTTTATTTCTATGTGTTTTCACTCTTTCTGTTGTTTTTCTATTCCCCAACCCTATTCTTTTTTGAAAACTATTTTCTAATGTTTGTGCTCAGTAATAAACTATGCTTAGCTTGTTCACTCTCAATAACCTACTATTTTATAAAATAAAATAAAACTGACAACTTATTTTCATTTTAAATTGGGAGAATCCCACAAAAGGAAGTTTAAAATTATTGAATTCCAAATGTCAAATTTATGCAAAAATGTACTGTTATTTACAAGTCTGGTGATGTTAAAACCTATTAAAGTATTGTTTAGAAATCTAATTTGAGATTTCGTAATTTTAAACTTCCTTTTGAGGGATTCTCCTTTTTAAATTCCAAATTTCAAAATAAACATTAATTAATTAATTAAGAGTTAATTGAAAGTGTGTTAATTCTTTATTAGCCCATGATATTTGGCCCAATTAATTTAAGATTATCTTTCTCTTATTAGCCCATGATATTTGGCCCAATTAATTATCGTGTTTTTTATTAAGCACTATTATGTTTTTGTTGCAACCAAAAAAAAATTATGTTTTTGTTGAGTTTTGAAAGCTTAGATTTCTTGCACAGCATAGTTTTCCCCATCTGACCCTCGCATCTTGCAAAAATGTGTCACTATTGACCACTGTATTTGACATGACTAATCTGCAAAGAATAACTTGCATGTTTTGACATAGCCAAAAAACATTACAACTCGTGGGTAAGAGAAACTTCTTTTTCTGGAATATTATTTCTATGTACATATAAGCAAGAATGCAAATATTTCTCAATCATATGATTGGAAGTATGATATTGTAGTTATCTGCCATGTATCTCTGTAACGCTAACACTGTTATTTGTAAACAATCTCTGACTTTCTTCATTAGATGATGAACATAGCAAACTCTGCCATTCGATGAATGCGGGTTGTTTTGGAGAAGGAAGGTTTACAATCTCACTGCTAAGCATTGAAACCACAGTGCTCATACTTGGCCTCTCTCTTGCAAGCTCTTGCACGCATAAAAGCCCTATGTGTATGCATCTTAATATGTCTTTCTCCAGGTTGTTATCATATATTCTAGGATCTATTAGCGTTGAAGCATTCTCCTCATTCCATAATTTCCATGTCTAAAACGAAACATGTATAAATATCAGCATTGAAATCTAAAGATAAGAATGAAATTAAGCATTACAATTGAGTATTGAGAAGGAAAATGGACTATAGTGACTTACCAATCCTAAAAGGCTGAGAGAATCCTCATTGATAGAAAGGCTTGAGTTTCTTCTTCCAGTTGCAATCTCTAATAGTAAAACTCCAAAACTAAACACATCGGATTTCTCTGAAAATAATCCTTCTATTGCATACTCCGGTGACATATAACCACTGCATTATTGAGTAAAACTATTAATTATTAGAGTACTACTTTTCTTGTTATTATATTATTGGACAATAAACTAAAACTTACTAGGTTCCAACAACTCTTCTCGTGTTTGCTTGATCTTCACTCCCTTGAAAAATTCTTGCCATGCCAAAATCTGATATTTTTGGATTCAAGTTCTCATCTAATAGTATGTTGCTTGCCTTTAGGTCTCTATGTATAATTTTTAGTCTAGAATCTCGATGAAGATAAAGCATTCCTCTAGCTATCCCTCCAATTATGTCAAAACGCTTTCCCCAATCTAGGACTTTCTTGTTTAGTGGATCTATGAAAGCAAAATGGAGCGATATAATAGATTTGTACATGTATATGCTAAATACAGAAAATTCTATAATTTTAATAATGCATATGACATGGCAAGAAAGAAGGGATCAAAAGAACAAACCAAAAATAAATGCATCTAAACTTTTATTTGGCATGTACTCGTAGATTAACATCTTCTCTCCTCCTTCAATGCAGCAGCCAATAAGTTTGACAAGATTACGGTGTTGAAGCTTGGAAATGACAATGACCTCATTCATGAATTCCTCTAGTCCTTGTCCAGATGCTCTAGAAAGTCTTTTAACTGCAATATTCTGACTGTCTTGCAATATCCCCTTAATGAACGTACCAAGTATAGTAATTACACAAAATGACAGATAAACATTCATATGCAGTGTCTACAAAATTGACGAAATTAGTATGAATTAATGTACCTTGTACACTGGACCAAAGCCACCCTGCCCAAGCTTATTAGAGAGGTCAAAGTTGTTTGTAGCAGTTGCAACCTTTTCAAAATCATATGCCAATACCTCTGGTAGTTTGACACGGGACAATTGTCCGATGATGGTGTCTTCTGTTTTCTCTAAATATTCTTCATCTTTCTTTAATCGTAAGAACCACTTGTTCTTTGATTTTGTCTCTGATGTAAAGTAGTGAATTAATTTTAGAAAGAGGGAACACCATGCAAAAAACCCCATAAGAAAAATGAAATAACGTGATTTACCAAACAACAATTTAATAATATGAAGATTGCATTTAAGATTCCGAGATGATATAAATGTAATGTACCTGAGTGCTTCACTATCCTTTTCCATAAAACATATGTACCAAAAGCAATTATAAGTGTTCCTATTATTACTGTAATGATGATGATTTTTCTGGCATGCGTCTCCTTTTCTGCATTTAACGATAAAGCAGAGAATGTTAGAACCGATCCAAATCTATGAATAGGAAAATGTTAAAGTACTAGATTTTTAATATTTGACAGAACAAAAGATTAACTGACCAAGATCTGAATGGGCTAGACGTACATATAGATCAAGTCCACCTGTTGAGAACTGCTGTATATCAATTAGATTTCCCTTCCAAGACATGCAACCTATTTCAGGACTATATGAATATGCTATACAAGTACAGTTCTCCAAGCATTGGCTTCTGCAGGTCTCCTCTGAAGCAGAGGACAGTTCTGCAAAATCTGGCACTTTAACCATCTGCAACTTATAAAATCCATCTTGTTTGCCTTGTGCACTTCGATTTTTCAACATCTCACACTGCAAAGTTGTCTTCCTCTCACAACCATTAGTCCAGTTTTGCATATCCCATTCCTTTCTCTTGCTTGGCTCAAAACCTCTCAAACAGTTGCATATAGGCGAACTATTTGCATTGCAGCTTCCAAATGATCCACATAAGCCATAAATATCACATTCTGAAGTTTGAATACTATGATTTTTTTGTGGTTCTATTGTGTCATTAAACCAATCTTTTTCGTATATTACGCCCTGAAAGTCTAAGACAAACAACGTGAATTCTGTCACATCAGAAAAACTAAAAGACACATAAATAGTTCCTTCTCCATCCTCTATGATACGAAATCCTTTAAGATAAAGGGCATTCATATAGTATATGCCAGTAAAGATCCTACCATTCCATGGACCACTTCGCCAATACGGGTGATCTCCATTCCAAATGAATATTTCAGGAATATCTGGACGTTCAAGTGTGATAAAGAAGTTGCCCATGGATGGATCTGACAAACTTTTCCACGATGTTAGTCTTAGTTTCTCACCTGTTCTTTTGTTCCTTGTAAGTTTCATTTGGGGGAGGAATGAGTCAGAAGGATGTGCAAAACTTTCCCATAAGATGTTTTCTGCGGAATCTTTGAGGACAAGATTTCCAGAATCTAGAAGCTGACAAGTTGTATTGAGGGCAATATTTGACACATTTGATGACCAAATGATGTGGTTTTCCCCATTTATTACCACAAGATTGCCATCCTCAGATATTGCAATAGTCCCAGTCCCAGAAGAATCCGTCAATGGTTGGTTTCTGTTAGCTACCCATATGATATTGGACTGGGACTTGTACCAAATTCCCACGTAGCGATTTGTGGTATTTTCTGGACTGAAAAATCCCAACATGAAAAAACTTCCATTGGAACTAACAGTTTCAGGATCCTTAATGTGTTGTGATGATTTGATGGTGTCTTTGGCACTGCAAAAGTCAAAACAGGAGCAGCAAAATATGATCAAGACAGCGAGCAGGATTGTATATCTGCAAAAGAATCTCATTGCTGAAGTGAAGTGCCCTTGAGATGCACCATCAGGAAAGATGACCGAGACTTGCTATCAATGGTTGGCGCTCCCAGAATTAGTCAATTTCTATCATCTTGAACACAGAACACAGACACCAATTTTGTTCTTATTTAACTTCCAGTTCTTGTCAATTGTCATTGTTTCTAATTAATTTATGGATTTGTCTCCACATAATAGTTGAAGTCATATATATATATATATAAAGTATTCTTGGTAAACGGTTGTCACAAACCACGAATGAATTAGGCGTTGAATACTGAATTTTTAATGCCATTTGCTGAATGGCCAAAAATAAAGGCGGGGCCTTTTCAACTTTCTGCGGGTGTGAAATTCATTTTTTTTTAAAAAAGAATTGAAGGTTTTGACCAGCAAAATTTTGTTTGACCAGCAAAATTTTGTTTACCATCATATATATGTGACTGTTCATACACATATACTTGATGCTTGATCAAATTTGCAGGTGAAGTTTGATTTGGTGGTTGAAGAAATAATGAAGTCCACGAAGCAGTTCTTTTGGAAAGTTTGTTCCCCACCCCCAACCAAAAAAATAAAAAATAAAAAACCAGAAGCAGACAGCGCAAGCCAGAATGGGTAGAAAATACCGAGCATGAACCAAAACTGATTGTTTTATAGCATGTGGCCCAAAAGACGAATCAAACCCAACTACATTTGTCCGCATCGAGGCCCAATGAAGGAGAAACCAACAGTAATGACTTTAAGGACTGAATTGTTGTATGTCAATTTTGCCCACAAGAAAGAGTGTTGCACGGAATTTTTCAAAATTATGATATTTATAAAAATAAGGTAGAAAAGTTAGAAGTAATAGTTTAGCAATTAATGCTCTGGCTTTTCTGAAAAAAAAAAAGAAGCTCCAAATCTCCAATACTCGGATCCACCGTGTCCGTTGCTTTTTGGTAGGGATGTTATGAAAGCGGCAGATTTGGATAATAAGCACGTATGGGAATGTATTAATTTTTTTCAAAGTTAAAAAGAGATGTTTCTGTCGAATAAAAGAAACATTATAGGTCTAAACAATTTCAATATGGTGACTATAGGTTAGACAAAAAGAAAAAGATAAAATCTATACCAGCTAGATTTATAAAATTTAAACCAAGCAAGTTACAGATGTTGGTTCATGTGTTTTTTTCCTCGCAATGTTTTACATTTGTTATTGTGCCAACATGGGCATCCTCTTTTTAATATTTTTTTTTAATGAACACTTTGATTTTTTCTCATGTGCATCTTACGTCCCAGTATTATTTTTCTAGTTACACCTAAAGCCCTAATATTTAAAGTGCTAGATGCACTAAAATTAAGATCAGTGTATTGGATGTATTAAAAAAAGATTTTGTTGTTGGATGTAACTGACAAAAGAGATTATTTTTTTAATAAAAAAATTAAATGCATTACTTATAGAAAAAAGAAATACAAGAGTATAACTAGATATAAGAAATAAAAGAAGAACCAGAGCTAAACAAGATTAACATAGGATCTAGAAAAGAAGTTACTTGTACATGGGTAAATGTACAAGTAAAAACTGAAAGAAAGTTAAAAATATCCTATGAATGACATTAAAAGAATTTGCAATAGCTCCTGCTGTAGGCAAGTATTTCTTGTTAATACAAAATACTTTTAGCTTTTCTTTACTATCCACCAAGAAAAATGGTGGCTTGTAAATCCAAACAACATTAAATGGGAGCATTAAAAAACAATATTTCTTCCTAAGCAGGAAAAACAGTGCACGTAATTTAACCGGAAAAATCACTTTCTTGAACCTGCTATTCCATTTCCAGATGCTTGCTTTTATACACACACAAACATACACAGAAAAGATTTCACCTTTTTTCAAATGCACTGTTTTTTATTAAAAAAAATAATTAAATGCATTAACTATACAAAACAGCAATACAAGAGTATAACTAGATACAAGAAGTAAAAGAAGAACAAGAGCTAAGAAATAAAATTAACCTAAGATTTAGAGAAGAAGTTGTTTGCAAAACCAAATTATCTCGTCTGTCTGCTTTGTGAACGGCTAGCAATCAAGCACTATGGAACTGACAAAATCTATGGTTTTCTTAAAATACAAGCAGACGTTCCAATACATGATAAAATCAATCATGAAACTAAAAATCAAAGAAGCAAGATTGGTAGTTCAAGGGTTTATCCAAGACTATGGAATTGATTATCAAGAGACGTTTGCTTCTACGACAAAGCTCAATATAATAAATGTGCTCATGTCTCTTACAGCAAATCTTGATTGGCCATTATACCAACTAGATGTTAATAATGCGTTGTTGAATAGAGATCTTGAAGTGGAGGTTTACATTAAAATTTTCTTAAGGCTAAATAACAAAATAGGCAAAAATAAGGTATGTAAGCTAAAGAAGTCCTTATATGGGCTTAAACAATCTCTATTGAGTATTGTTTGGGAAGTTCACATATGCAATCAAGGATTAAGGCTTTAAACCGTTCCAAGAGGATTATACTCTGTTTGCAAAGCATAATTCAAAAGGAGAGGTAGCAATCTTGATTATATATGTGGATGACATTATTACAGCAGGTGATTGTAATGTAGAAATTTATAAACTTAAAACTCAACCACCTAGGAAATTCAAGAACAAGGATTTGCGGAAGTTGAAATATTTTTTGGGTACGGAGGTTGTGAGAAATCAGGATGGAATTTTAGTATCATAACAGAAGTTAAATCTTTTTGAGGAAACAAAATTGTTGGATTGTGGACCTGTTAGGACACCCACGGAGGACGCCCACGGAAGAAGACATACATATATACCAATATGGGCTTAAATGGGCTGGACCCATAAAATTCAACACATTCCTATATACAGGCCAAGGATAAAAATTTCTTATGTGGTTTTGGGTTCATAATCACTTTTGATATGAAGGGTGTCTAGATCTTGTCTTAAAAAAACCATGATTTTGACTCTTACAGTAACAATAGCTTAGCCTCACATTTGGTTGAGATAAAAATGGTACAATTTCTGGACTGCCAATCTATAAAAAATTGAAGAATAGATAGCATGGGATGAAATAATGGATTCAAGAAACCTAAAATTAAATGAAACTATCATCCATAATTCACAATAGATAACTATATCCTAGTGAAGTTTTACAGTCATTTTTCATTACATGTGCAATATTATCTTCCAATTATGTCAGTAATGCTAACAAAGTTGGCGGAGTGCGAACCTTGCATTTCTGAAGTTGACTGAGAGTTGAATCATATCCATCTCGTTTAGTACCTATGCAGGTTGTCTTGGAATAGGAAGATTGGCAATCTCACTACTAAGCATCGACACTAAATTGGCCATAGTTGGCCGCTCTTTCGCTAATTCTTGCACGCAAAGTAATCCTATGTGTATACATCGCAAAATGTGGTCATAAGAATCTTGACATTGTATTTTCGAATCCATAAAACATACCAAGTTATCTTCATTCCATGGCTTCCAAGCCTGAAAATAAATAAAAATATGTGCGTCAATCTACAAAGTTTATATCAACGTCAGTAAGTACATAAGACACTTACATATCCCAAAAGGGTTTGTGATCCCTCCATGTTATACAATTTAGAATTGCTTATTCCACTAACAATCTCTAGTACCAGAACTTCAAAACTGAAAATATCTGACTTTTTTGAAAATGGCCCTGGCATTGCATATTCGGGAGATATATAGCCACTACATGAAATACTTATCAAGTTAACTTGCATTTCACTGACATGATACTTTTTTAATAATTAAGAAAAGATGACAAGCTTACTATGTCCTAACCACTCTTTTGGTATTAGCTTGATCTTCATTGCTTCTAAATATTCTAGCCATTCCAAAATATGATATTTTTGGATTTAGCTCTTTATCTAACAAGATGTTGCTAACCTTTAAATCTCTATGTATGATTTTTATTCTAGAATCTCGATGGAGATAAAACAAACCTCTAGAGATTTCTTCAATAATTTTGAAACGTTTTTCCCAATCTAGTTCTCACTTTTTGATTGAGTCTGTAAACAAAAAGGAGATTAATTAGGGAACTAAGAGTAAGCGCATTCTTAAGAGAATCAGAATTCATGGAATTCAGCAAGTTATTAAATATTAAGAAAATCAAAGAGTAAAGCATCTTATGTTTTTAAACTCACAGTATGGCTTCAAAACAAGATGAACTATATTAGGCAAAAAAGAACTAACCATACAAAATCGCATCCAAACTCTTGTTCTGCATGTATTCATAGATTAATATCCTTTCAGCTTGCTGAATGCAACAACCTAGAAGTCTTACTAGATTGCGATGTTGAAGCTTTGAAATCACAACCACCTCATTCATGAACTCTTCTTGCCCTTGTCTGGATGCTTTTGAAAGTCTTTTGATTACGATTTGCTGTCCATCTTTTAATTGCCCCTGGAAAACAAAGTAAAACAAAAAGTCAGCATTTCTTCCTAAAAAAGGTTCACAACAGTGTTTTTTTTTTTTAAAGAAAAAGCCTTGCACACTGAACCAAAACCGCCGCGTCCAAGCATGTTCGATGAATGGAAGTTGTTTGTTGTAGTTACAAGATCTCCAAATCAAAAAGTGGAAGTTCATCCATCTTGACTTTATCTTGAGTAATCATTCTTTGAGATTGACTTTGGGAACCTGTCTCACCTATATTGAAAAATAACAAGGCGCTTTCTTTAATTATTTTCAGCATACATAATATTAATAATCATAGCAACCTTACTCATAGCTACAGGTTTCAGAATTTTGATGGAAAACAAATGAAATCAGGGATTGATCCACTCATGCTATGAGCAAGTATGGATAATGTTGAATGAAAACTAAAACTATAATTTATTACAATACCTGCATATTTAGCCGTCAATTTCCATAAGAAATATGCACCTGCTATTAAGGTAATAATTCCTATTGTCACTGTAACTGCAATGATGATTGTTCTTCTTGGTGAACGTTTTTCTTCGTTTCATAATAAATAGTCAGATAGCTTCAATAAAAACTTTCTAGTATGATGGAGCATTAGATTTCAAACAGAAAAAAGTTACCAAGTT